GGTTCCAATTTCTCAACATCTTTGCCAACACTTGTTATTTTCTATCATTTTGATTATTTCCATTCTAGTGGGCATGAAGTGATATTTCATTGTGGTTTTATTAATAATACGCATTTCTCTGATGGCTAATAAAGTTGAATAACTTTCCTCAATGGACATACTATTTGTACTCCATAGTACTTTCTACAAATATTTACTGAGTACCTACTATTTATCAGGGACCATTCTAAGCAGTGAGATAGTGGTAAGCAAGAGGGGAAAGTCCACAAGTATTTACTGAGTGCCTGTTATGTCTCAGGCACTGATCGAAGCAGTGAGATAGTGGTGAGCAAGAGAGAAAAGGATCATGGATCTTACATTTAAGTAGGGAGAAACAGATTGCAAACATGTCACACATAAATCACAATAATGATAAATACTTTTTGTATTTTGAAGAAGAAATAGAGTAATGTGAAGGTTAAGGTGGGGATCACTAGACAAGGAGACCAGGGAAGTCTTCTCTGAGAATATGACATTTGAGCTGGCTGAGACCTTAATGGTAAAAAGGAGTAATCATACAAAGAGCTGGGAAATGGCCTTCCAAGCAGAAGAAACCAAGTATAATACCAAGGTCACAAGGTAGAAGGGCACCCCAGATGGCAGAAAATGTTGATTACCTTCAAATCTATTTCTCTTTTTCTGCCCTGACAATGGAGACATGTTCTTGCTCCAGTGCTCAGCTTTCCCCTGTGCTTGAGTAATAACCTGAACTATTCCCAACCCACAAGGAAGGAAGGCTTCTCAGACACAAGAAAGAGGGAGTGGAGTCTTTCCTTGAAAATGGATTCTGGTATAAAGAGTGTGATGCCTGGGATGGCACTGGCCACCTGGCAACTACAATGAGGGCTAGCAAATACAATCGATCAATAGAACCTGGGTTGTCCATAATCACAAACTGAACAGCTGGAGGTCATACTTCCTCCACCTCCCCGGTCCCCACCTCTCCTGCAATGTGAGATAGTAAGTCTGCTCATTGACTAAGATATTTGAAGTTGGGTTTGCTATTACAGGAAGCCAAAAGTGTTCTAACAAACCCTGAGGGTGGCTGAAACAGAGAGAGCAGGGGCCTTGAGAAAGGTACACAACAAAAGGTGTTCTGATTTTATCTAACTGCAACAGGAAAACACTGGAGGGTTTTAAATCATAGCAGGATATGACCTGATTTGTACTTTCATTCTAGTCCCTGTATAGTAAATGTACTGTGGGTATAATTTCATTCCTTTGCCATTGTTTAAAACATTACAGTATATTGATTTTGGAACACATTTATTTCACGTATATCAAGTTTTAACTTCTATATCTAGTTTAAAGTCTACCAGAAATTCTACCACTGTCAGAACATCCTCCTTGATTTTTTTACATAGGAAAATGTTTAAGAATATAAGGTATGTGGTATGAGCAGCAAACATGCAAAGGGATAAGAAGAGGATAGGACAAAAACCAAACTTGGATGGAAATAAAAGTATGTACAGTTGTCCCTTGGTATCCCCAGGAAGGATTGGTTTCAGAGCTCCCAGGGATACCAAAATCAGCTGATGCCCCAAACCCTTATATAAAATGGTATAGTATTTTCACATAACTTACAGACATCCTTTTATATATAGTCCTCACTAAATGACAGCACTGAGTTCCTGGAAACCGTGACTTTAAGTAAAAGGATGTACAGAAGTTCCTTAAACAACCTAGTTTCATTTAATTTTTTTTTTTTTTTTGAGACAGAGTCTTACTATGTCACTCTAGGTGCCATGGCGTCACAGCTCACAGCAATCTCAAACTCTTGGGCGTAAGCAACTCTCTTGCCTCAGCCTCCCAAGTAGCTAGGACTACAGGCACCCGCCACAACACCCGGCTATTTTTTGTTGCAGCTGTCATTGCTGTTTATACAGCCTGGGCCAGGCTCAAACCCACCACCCTAAGTGCATATGGCTGGAGTCATAACCACTGTGCTATGGCACGGAGCCTGTATTGTTATTTTTTATTATTTTTTTTTGTTTTCCGAAATATTTTCAATCTGGCTTTGTTGAATCTCAGGAATGGGAACTCACAGATACAGACGACTACCATGTTTCTTTTGAAGTCAACAGAGAGGTCACAGCTTTGTCTTCTAAACTGTATATTCAGAAGTTAAATACTATTATAGCTAAAAAAGTTCACTGGTAATGACCTTATATTTCAACAAGCTTAATTACCACATCTCATTTCCTCTTAAGACCAGGAACTAACTTGGCACAATGTTTATTACCATTATTACATTACACAAAGACATGCTAACTTAAATATATAAGACATGAATGTAATTTATTATTTTATTTTATTTTATTTTTTTGAGACAGAGCCTCAAGCTATCCCCCTGGGTAGAGTGCCATGGCATCACAGCTCACAGCAACCTCCAAGTCCTGGGCTCAAGCAAGTCTCCTGACTCTGTCACCCAAGTAGCTGGGACCACAGGCACCTGCCACAACAGCCGGTTATTTTTTGGTTGCAGCCATCATTGTTGTTTGGCGGGCCTGGGCTGGATTCGAACCCGCCATCTTAGGTGTATGTGGCTGCTGCCTTAGCCACTTGAGCCACATGAATGTAATTTAATATAATCCCTTTGCAACACAACAGGATATGAAACACTAGAGGCGTATGTGTATTTCACATACATACTTCCTCATCATTTAGTATGATTTGCATTCAGTCAAACATGTTCCTAGTCAAACTGCTTCGTCTGTCAGGAAATACCTAAGAATATTTCCTGCACTCAGTTAACAGTGATCTATACTTTAAGGCAATTTACATCAAGGTAAAGTTAAAATGGAAGCCAATGACAATTATGTACTTTTTTTCTATAGTAATTATCATCCTTCTTTATATGACAATGGTATCTAATAGGAAATAAAATGTAATACTAACATATGCACAGGCAGTCCCTAAGTTACAAACATCTAACTTACATACAACTTTCATTTATAAATGGAGGCTATTACAGGTAATAGGTATCTGTTCCAACTTACATACAAATTCAACCTAAGAACAAACCTACAGAACCTATCTCACTCGTTACCTGGGGACTGCCCATATATATAAATTCATCAGACCTCCCTGAGTTTAAGAATGCAAAATACATTCTTCCATAGCTTTAGATTTATTTATTTATTTATTTATTTTGAGACAGAGCCTCAAGCTGTCCCCCTGGGTAGAGTGCCATGGCATTACAGCTCACAGCAACCTCCAACTCCCGGGCTCAAGCAAGTCTCCTGCCTCCGCCTCCCAAGTAGCTGGGACCACAGGTGCCCGCCACAACGCCCGGCTATTTTTTTGGTTGCAGCCGTCATTGTTGTTTGGCGGGTCCGGGCTGGGGATTCGAACCCGCCACCTTAGGTGTACGTGGCTGGCGCCTTAGCCGGTTGAGCTATAGGCGCCGAGCCTAGATTTATTTTTTAAAAAGCTGCTGTTTCTCTTTCATCACAAAAAACCAAGTGGAGAGAAGCATAAGAGATGTTTAACCTTGGTATACACAAAAAATCAGTTGCTCCCCATTAAGTCAAGGTTGCCTACCTGACCTTTTCCCCTCTTTAGACTTAATTTTTTTACCTTGATGTTAAAGAATCAAGTCATCTTTGGATTCTTGGAATAGCAGTTTATACCTGTATAAGTCTTACCAGGCTTTACTTTATGCGTATTAGCTCACTGAATCCTCACAACCTATATTGTAGATAGCATTATTATTTCCATTTTACAGATGGTGACACCGAGGTCAAAGCTGAGAAGAGGGCAAAGAGAGGCGCCAAAGGATGCCTTACTTGCGGCACACCCTAGTCATGACCATGAATGGTCATAGGGAACTTAAGTAATTTGCTCATTACACAATATCACTCCCCTCCAAGTTTTTACATCCTGGAACATATTCTCATCTATGACAAAGAGCACTGGGGCATGGAATCAGAAGGCTACATTTCAAAAGGAGCTGTGTATCATGGTTTCCCCATCCATTCAATGTTAAAATAAGATCACAAAGAAATAAGAGGGTCAGATATATTTACACAAATGCCAAATGTGCCCAATGAATTGAAAAGCCCTCTTACTATGCAAGCTGGCATTAACATGAAGTTGGGAGATTGCCAAGAACAGGGTAGTATTAAGAGTCTCTCAGGGTTGTCTTGTGGAAAAGGGAGGCAAAACGTGAACATGAGTTCAGCTGCCGGGGTTCCGTGCGAGTGAATGTGTGTTTAGGAGTACAGATGATAAGGAGATGACTCAAGTAGTTTAGAGGACAAAACAAAGATTTGTCCTGTGAAAGGTGATCCATTTAGCAAAACCTCAATTACTGACCAAGACCCTACTTGACCCGGCTCATTTTGTACTGTACTGACGCAACACCCTGGGCTCTCTGTTCCTGGTAGTCAGGCCAGACAACGCCTCTTCTGTTGCCTCAACATTCAAACACCATTTCCATCTCAAGACCTCGGCATTTGCTTTTCCCTGGCTGGCTCCTTCTCATAATTGCGGTTTCAATTCAAATGCCACTTCTTCAGAGAGGATTCCTCTGATGACTTTTGCCTAAAATTGTATAACTCCTTCCCTCCCTAGTCATTCTTTATCTCATAACTCTGCTTTTCATTGCACTTATCACTTTCTTAAAGTATCTTATTTATGTGTTTACTTGTTTAAGGCCAGTCTCTCCCACTCCAGTGTAAGCTCTGTAAAGCAGGGACCTTTTGGGTCTTGTTCCTGGCTGTAACTTCGGTATCTGGCACGTAGCAACTATATAATATAAGTATTTGCTGTAGTCTGCAAACATCTGTAGTCCGGAGATTCCTAGACACTGGAAGGGATCAAGGGCCACAGGAACGTATTCCGTGTGGACGAGAGAGGAACTGAGAAGGCTATGCGGGGAGCCCAGGGAACCGGTGGAAGGACTTAAATAAGTCCAGGCTCTCAGGAGGACCAAGGGGTCTGAGGCGTGGGGGGCTCACCTGCCGAATGGCCGCCAGCGTGTTCTCGGGCGCGTCGTGACTGCCGCCGCGGTGGGCGATGGCAGAAACGCGGTCCCGGGGCTTAAGCACCTCCAGGGCCCTGTGGGAGGGCACCGGCTCAAAGCTGAAGATGCGCAGCAGGATGAAGAGGCTGCCTGTGAGGAGGCAGGCATTAAAGGGGCTGCGTGTCAACACCACCAGCACCAGCAGGAGAAAGGAGAAGGGGCCCATGAGCCCACCCTGGTCCTCCCACAGCCACATGCCGGCGCCCGCACCGGCACGGACAGGAGTCCCGGACCTGCCGGGCTCCCGGGACAGGAAAGCGAAAAGCGAGGAAGAGCCCTCCAGGCACTGATCACAACCAGCACCCTTCGAGTGGACCAGCGCCGCACAATGGCGGCGGCGGACACTTCGGGAGAGGTGGCCGACTGTCCAGCCAATCAGAACCTGGGATGGCACCATTGGGGGCGGGGGCCCTCCATGGCAACGAGGGCGGTCCCGATCCCCAGGCCCCGCCCAGGCTCTAATTCTAAAGTGCCTTCAGTACTCCCTAGGCGGGAAGGGCAGGAATAAGAACTGTCAGGTTATGGGGGGTTTAATGTTATTCGCTGCACAGAGCTAATTACGGACATAACGAGGATCGTTAAGGGAGAAAGGATTTATTTCAGAAGACGTGTTAACTGGGACGGGAGGCATAGGCTACCTTAAATCTACCTCCCTGATTAGCAGGGAGGTTTTAATAGAAGTTTAAAATGAAAAAGTATATTATTATATGTTTGGGGTGAAGTGCTGGGCATGTAAGTGTAGTGAAGAATCATGTTAGTACGTCCATCTTATGAACAAAAAATAGACTAATTCTTTTTGAAGGTGGAAATTTTAGTATAATGAGCTGGGGTTAATATGGCTCATTACTTTAGTCTTGTGTGTAGGCTTAGCGACTGTAGGATTGGAAGAAAATTTAGTGATTCCTTTATCTGCTCTTGTATAAATTGAAGTCCAGGGAAACTTGAAGGAGCAGGATGCTTATACTATTTATTTTACTTCAATTCAAGGTGTCACATCACCAGTTCAGTTGCCTTTGACACCGCAGTGACCCCCGCAGGGTTCTTGCTCTTGTGATACTCACATTCTCCTGGGGGAAATTAAGCACAGCTAACATTTACAGAGCATTTACCATGTCCCAGGAAACACTTCGTATGGCTATTTTTCTTTCTTTCTTTCTTTTTTGCAGTTTTTGGCCGGGGCTAGGTTTGAACCAGCCACTTCCGGCATACTGGGCAGGAGCCCTACTCCTTTGAGCTACAGGCGCCACCCTTATATGGCTATTTTTCTAACAGCTTCGGTATTATTTCAGGAAACTGATTTCCATGGACTTTAGAAGAATTTTTCAGGTTATGAGAGAATGAAAGAGCCTCGAAAAGGAGGCACAATCAGATTATATGCAACTGGAAAAGTTTCTAATGATTCCCTTATTTCATAGAAGTCAGCAGTTAATAGCACGGTTAGAACTAACATCAAGCTCCCCATGGCTTGTGACCTTTCCACTACCACTTCTACTCAGGGCTTAAGTACCAGGCACTGTGCAACAGTTACAAAGTTACAATTGTGCATAGCTACTTTTGTGATAGGCACTTTTAAAACCGCAATTTTACATAAGCAAAAATAGACAAGGGAAGGAAGGTCCCTGCCAGAAGGTAAAGGCGAGTTAGGGAATGGAAAGGGGCCACTAAATCATATTTTTAAAAGCTGATAACGCGTTAAATAGAAATTTTTGCAAAATATTCAGAAATTTTACTATTACCCGTTACCTTTTCCCCCCACTGATTTGCAAAAGGCTATAGATGTCTTACGGCTTCGAATTGGCATCTTAGATTCAGCAAATTTTTTATCTACAGAGAAAAAAATTTGGACCGTTGGAAAACATTTCAGCGAGACACAGAAAGACCTTATCATTACACAGATAAACAAAAAGGGCAACTTCAAGGAACTTAAGGGGCTTCAGATCCTGGAAAGGGTTCCTATTAAAACAAGCAAATAAAAGACTTAAACATAAAAGACTAGCTTTCAGTGAAGACTACGTTTCCCAGCGTGCAGCGCGCTGGCCGTGCGTACTACCTCTCCGGCAGGCATGCTCAATGCACCTTGGGGATTGTAGTTTTCTGGAGGCCCAACCGTTCCAACTGTTCTGGGAGAAACTACCGGAAGCGCCGGCCCAGAGAGGTGGAGTCTGGGTGGCGGCGGCGGCGGCGGTTGCCAGGATCCCGCGTTGCCGCCAGAGACCCGTAATATGGCGGGGAGGAGGAGGAGAAGGCGGCGGCGGATCGAGCTGCTGCCTGTCAGTACCAATTGAGCCTCTTGCTTCCTGACAGGGTCCGTGGCGAGGGGAGAAAGCCTGACGGGACCGTGGGGAATCAGGTGTGTGCATGAGGAGGGGCCTCGACGCTCAACGGGTCGGAACTGAGAGGCAGCCTAGCGAGGCAGAATTGGCGCCCTAAGGCTGCCGAGGGCGGGCTCTGTGCTGGGCTCCCGGGTCTCGAGCCTCTGGAAAGGCACGGGGGGCGGGAATGCGGGAGCCCGGGGGCAGGGAGCACCGGGCTTCGAGGTGATGCTCGGGTGCTGGCACCCCGGTGGTCCCTCGGCCCTTGTCTTCAGAGGAGCTAGGGGAGGTGGGCGCAGGGCGCTGGGGTGGGGGCGCAGGATCCCTGGTGAATAAAACTCGAGGCAGAGCCAGAGAATCCTCTCCTGGTGATGAAACTGGGCCGTTCCTTTTTCTTTACTCTCTCCGTCGGCGCTGGGGAGGGACGTGTCCCCAGGGTGTGCACTGGCCATTTCTGAACGCCGGTTACCACAACCTAGGGCCCAAGCTGGGAGCGCTGTTTACTCCGCCTTTGCCACTCTGGGGCATAATAAAGCGAATATTCTCGATTGCTGGTAAGGCTGCTAGGTGGTTCCTACCCTTTGCTTCTACTGCCTAGTGATGATCTCAGTCTCCTTGCCCTACCCCACTTTAGGCAAATGACAGCCATAGAGATTGATTTGATGGGGAGGGCTTGGGGGTGGCGAAATGAGGACGCTGTTGTACCCCTTTCCACATTTTTAAGTTACGTTTGAATCCTATCAGGAACTAAGCTCTGTCGCTGCCCTCCAGAGTTCACAGTCTAGCGTTAAAAATCATCAGCATCATTCTTTTCATGAGAAAAACAGCCCTCATTTATTGATGCTTTCTGCGTGTCCAGCAGTATGCTAATTGCGTTCATGCATTAGCTCATTGAATTCTCCCCAAATCCCATTGAAATAGATACTCAGAATATCCCTATTTTACAGCGAAGGAAACTGAGGCCTAGGGATGGTAACTAGCATGTCAAGAACATAGAACTGGTAGAAATCTTCCCATTTACTGCCTCTTCAACGAGTTTGCTTCTTTGGGGGAACTGATAGGTAAACTACCAGCTAGGTCTGATTTGCAAACTAGGCAGGGTCTGTTCTGTGTCACTTTTACCATTCCCTTCAGTGACGTTGTCGCAGCGCAATGGTAAGGAACAGATAGGACCACGAGTCTGTGGGGTTTGCAAAGAGGCTCATTTGGAAAAGGGTCAGTAGTAGCACTCCATGGTATAAATGGAGAAGGCAAGGCATGTCTGAACTTGCTGCAGGTGACAAATAATTGACAGAAGGAGACCAGTAATGCCTGATGGTGAAGTATGGGGCAGTAGATTTGTAGTCAAGACTTTATTAAAATAAAACCTTGTTGACAGTAGTAGTTGTGGTGAGAAACATAATGCCCTCTTGCTTAATCCTGGAATATGGACTAGTGGCTTTTTAAATGGTTACCTTTGCAGTTTATAGGTCCCAGTTTCTCTGGGAATAGGATCATCCATGAAACTACCATTCTCTCAATTCCATTCTTCCTTGCTAGCTTCTTTGGTGTATAGTAGTCCACCCTTTTCTATTTTTTCCCAATTTATGTTATGGTTTGAGTAATTACCCTAATTCATTTATTGAATACTTTTATCAAGATCCTACTATGCGGTGACACTGTTCTCTGTAATGGGGATTTAGTGAGCAAGACTGAAAAGGTAGCTATGCTTATGGAGTTTACATTTTGATGGAGGAAGACAGACAAAAATCAAGGAAATAAACAAGATAATTTCAGATATCTTAATACCTCTGAAAATTGGGAAATAGCAAGGTAGTGTGGTAGCAACTGAGGCAGGTCTAATTTAAATGAGACAATCAGGGAGGGCTTCTCTTAGGAGGGGACATCCAGGCTGACAGTGAAGGGTAAGAAGGATCCAGTCATGCTCCAGGATCATTTGGTAATCTCCATATTCGCACTTGTATTTGAATGATTAATACATTGTCATATGCTGTAAATTATGCTGTAATAATTATATATAACTATACATCTGCAATATGTAGGACATGTATTATTTCAGGGATCTGAATAACTTTTTGAAACAATGAATTGTATCTTTATGATATCATTGAAAGAAAAATGAAGCTGTTGCCTTAAATTTTCTAGACTTTTAAAACTGAATTTTTCACTTTGCTTGCATGTTCATAGAAAGTATGTTACTTCATTTATATAGTATAGAATAACCTATTTATGTTCCCTGCAATACTGAATGCATGAGTTGTTTCACAAAAGTACTTCAGCAGAAACGTATTTTAGCAGAAATGGGTTCATCTGAATGTCTTTTACATCTTAGCTACTGCATATTTTGGTTGTTATAATACATGTATAATGTGGGTTGAACCTAGACTAAAAATATTTATGCAGTAAGGTGTTTTATTGTTTTACTTAAGCTCTTTCTATGAGCATAAGCTTGCAAAATAATCTCATTCATGCTTTAGCTAACCGTTTCTTTGAAATTAAACTCTCACTTTGCATAAATTGAACATAGATATAATTGATGGAATTGTAGAAGTTTTGTTATTGATAAAACTACCAGTTGGCCTAAAGTAACAATATATCTTATTTTTTCTTTATCTAACCATAATTTTTTTTTTTGAGACAGAGCCTCAAGCTTTCC